TAGTCCCCAGTAAACAGTACTATGGAAATAGTCCCCAGTAAACAGTACTATAGAAATAGTCCCCAGTAAACAGTACTATAGAAATAGTCCCCAGTAAACAGTACTATAGAAATAGTCCCCAGTAAACAGTACTATAGAAATAGTCCCCAGTAAACAGTACTATGGAAATAGTCCCCAGTAAACAGTACTATGGAAATAGTCCCCAGTAAACAGTACTATGGAAATAGTCCCCAGTAAACATCCATCCATCCATCCATCCATTTTCTTCCGCTTTATCCGTTGCCGGGTCGCGGGGGCAGCAGTCTAAGCAGGGACGCCCAGACTTCCCTATCCACACACACTTCCTCCAGCTCGTCCGGGGGGACCCCAAGGCGTTCCCAGGCCAGCTGAGAGACATAGTCCCTCCAGCGTGTCCTAGATCTTCCGCAGGGCCTCCTCCCGGTGGGACGTGCCCGGAACACCTCCCCAGGGAGGCGTCCAGGAGGCATCCGGAACAGATGCCCGAGCCACCTCAACTGGTTCCTCTCGACGTGGAGAAGCAGCGGCTCTACTCCGAGCTCCTCCCGTGTGACTGAGCTCCTCACCCTATCTCTAAGGGAGCAGCGGCTCTACTCCGAGCTCCTCCCGTGTGACTGAGCTCCTCACCCTATCTCTAAGGGAGCGCCCAGCCACTCTGCGGAGGAAGCTCATTTCGACCGCTTGTATCCGCGATCTCGTTCTTTCGGTTATTACCCAAAGCTCATGACCATAGGTGAGGGAGGGAACGAAGATTGACCGGTAAATCGAGAGCTTTGCCTTTCGGCTCAGCTCCCTCTTTACCACAACGGTCCGATACAGCGACCGCATCACTGCGCACCGATGCCACTCCATTGGCACTGCCCCCGATCGCCACGCGATGTTGCAGAGACGTGTCAGCCAAGACAGTCCTACAACATCCAGAGACTTTAGATAATCAGGGCGGATCTCATCCACACCCGGAGCCTTGCCACCATGGAGGCTACCAACCACCTTGGTGACCTCAGCCAGGGAGATGGATGTATCCGCCCCAACATCCTCAGCCTCTGCCTCTGAAACAGAGGACGTGACGGGGGGATTGAGGAGAACCTCAAAGTATTCCTTCCACCGCCCGACAATATCCCCAGTCGAGGTCAGCAGCTCTCCACCCGCACCGTACATGGTGTTGGCAAAGAACTGCTTCCCCCTCCTGAGGCGCCGGATGGTTTGCCAGAATCTCTTTGAGGCCGACCGATAGTCATGCTCCATGGACTCTCCGAGCTCCTCCCAGTCCCGGGTTTTTGCCTCTGCAACAGCCCGGGCCGCGGCACGCTTGGCCTGCCGGTACTGGACAGCTGCCTCAGGAGTCCCCCGAACCATCATGGCTCGATAGGACTCCTTCTTCAGCCTGACAGCATCCCTTACTGCCGGTGTCCACCACCGGGTTCGGGGGTTGCCGCCGGGACCAGCACCAGAGACCTTGCGACCACAGCTACGAGCCGCCGCATCGGCGATTGAGGCAGCGAACATGGTCCACCCGGACTCCATGTCCCCCTCCTCCGCCGGGACCTGGGAGAAACTCTCCCGGAGGTGTGAGTTGAAAGTCCGTCTGACAGGGGGCTCAGCGAGACGTTCCCAGCAGACCCTCACTATACGCTTGGGTCTGCCAGGTCTGACCGGCTTCTTCCCCTGCCAGCGGATCCAACTCACGACCAGGTGATAATCGGTTGACAGCTCCGCCCCTCTCTTTACCCGAGTGTCCGAGACACGCGGTCGAAGGTCAGATGATACGACAACAAAGTCGATCATCGACCTCCGGCCTAGGGTGTCCTGGTGCCACGTGCACTGGTGGACACCCTTGTGCTCGAACATGGTGTTCGTGATGGACAAACTGTGACTGGCACAGAAGTCCAACAACTGAACACCGCTCGGGTTCAGATCAGGGGGGCCGCTCTTCCCGATCACCCCTCTCCAAGTGTCACTGGCGTTTCCCACATGGGCGTTGAAGTCCCCCAGGAGAATAACGGAGTCCCCGGGCGGTGCACCGTCCAGTACCCCTCCCAGGGACTCCAAGAAGGCCGGGTACTCTGCACTGCTGTTAGGCCCGTAGGCCGTCACAACAATGAGAGACTTGTCCCCCACCCGGAGGCGGAGGGACGCGACCCTTTCATTCACCGGGGAGAACTCCAACACGTGGCGGCTGAGATGGGGGGCAATGAGAATGGCCACCCCAGCTCGCCGCCTCTCCCCGCGGGGAACTCCAGAAAAGTGGAGCGTCCAACCCCTCTCAAGGAGTTGGGTTCCAGAGCCCAAGCTGTGTGTGGAGGTGAGGCCGACTATCTCTAGTCGGTATCGCTCAACCTCCCCCACAAGCTCGGGCTCCTTCCCCCCCAGTGAGGTGACGTTCCACGTCCCAAGAGCCAGATGTTGGGTGTGTGGACTGGGTCATCGAGGTCTCCGCCTTCGACCGCTGCCCAGTCCTCTCTGCACCGCTTCGCCACCACGGACCCCTCTGCAGGTGGTGGGCCCACAGGAGGGACTGCCCACGTCGTCCATTCGGGCTGAGCCCGGCCGGGCCCCTTGGGCTAAGGCCCGGCCACCAGGCGCTCGCATACGAGCCCCGACCCCAGGCCTGGCTCCAGGGTGGGGCCCCGGCTGCGCCATGCCGGGCGACGTCACTGATCTCGTAATAGTGCTGTCCATGGTGTCTTCTGGACTGCTCTTTTTCTGACTCGTCACCTGAGACCTGTCTGCCATGGGAGACCCTACCAGGGGCATGAAGCCCCAGACAGCATAGCTCCCAGGATCATCCGAGTACTCAAACTCCCCCACCACGTTAAGGTGGCAGTCCAGGGGGGAGCCCCAGTAAACCCCAGTAAACAGTACTATGGAAATAGTCCCCAGTAAACAGTACTATGGAAATAGTCCCCAGTAAACAGTACTATGGAAATAGTCCCCAGTAAACAGTACTATGGAAATAGTCCCCAGTAAACAGTACTATGGAAATAGTCCCCACTAAACAGTACTATAGAAATAGTCCCCACTAAACAGTACTATAGAAATAGTCCCCACTAAACAGTACTATAGAAATAGTCCCCACTAAACAGTTACCATAGAATCATTCCCACACTGAATAATCTCCTCTACAGTCACAAGAAACAAAACCAGGAAATAAGGATCACATGACAGTCCACAACACAAAATGTGTGTGTGCGTCTGCCTCTGATTGGCCGACCCACGGGAGACACATGTAACCCAGATGTCAGATCTGCACTGTAGCGGAGGTTTATATGCTCTTGCTGTCTGTTGATCTTTGGATGCTGCGCATCTCTTCCTGGTCACGTGATTGCTGTGGTGGTAGGAAGCTGCCAGTAGATGCAAGGGGAGGCAGGTTTTTTGTCTGCTTGAGGTATGTTCCGATTCTTGTTCACCTGTAACTCTCATGGGACCCTAAACTAACTGCTATTCACGAACTTTATAGAGCCTATTGCCAGTGTGGGGTACTTTTCATCCGACCTGCGTATGACTTAGAAGCCGAATTGGTGAGTCTATGTTGTGCAGCTAGCTCTTAGCATTAGCTCTCTTCAACAACTTTCACTGTACGAGCTTGATGGCATATTTCTCAGATGTCCATTTAAATAATGTTTTAACCCAAACCAGTGGAAGTTATTTATGCATATATGGTTTTTAGTCTGTATTGTTACATGACATGCACAGTAAAGATGTGTACTTTATCAATGAAGCTTACACTACTCTGAAATGACTGTATTTGTATTTGTGTTTGACTATAAGCGTGACTATTATAAATGTATGCTGCTAATGAGTACCATAGCACTTTAGTGCATGTTTGATGGAATGATTGTTTGTGTTTGATTATGTTGATTGAACTCAATTCTCATTCTCAATACCTAATAATACAATTAGGGTTAGTTAATTGAGATGAATGATTGAATATGTGCACATTGATTTGATATGAATGGACCTGTCTCTTACACAGGCCAGGCCCTTTTGTGATGGCGAGCCAAAGGAACGAATCTAGTCCGGAAATCAATAATTGGGAGCTTCCAGCCAAGGACCTCACCACCTGCTCAGCCTGGGCTGGTAGAGGCTCTCGAGCCACCCCTTGTTGAACACTCAACGCCACCCACAATTCTGGCCGGTAACCTCCCTACATTTTGGTTGAGTTGAGTTTGAAACAATTATGAACTATTGAACTTTTGAACTAAGTACAAAGGAACTGTACTCGTGACATAGAGGCACAAGGACTGTCCCACTATGCTCTTTCATATGAATTTTGTCGACCTGTATATATGTACATAATTTATGGTTTTTCCAAACTGCTTTCACCTTGAATGGCCATTCAATTCCTCCACTGTATATTGTATATGTGACACCTTTTGAATATATGGTACCAACCAAACCGCAATCAGTCTCTGCCTTCTCTCTCTCTGAGTCGAAACTATAGCCTTCTGATTCTAGCCCATAACACTCCAGATATTATATGACTTAATTGATTTGTACCCTTACCCTGGTTACACACACGCGCAGCCCCGAGGAGCGTGCACATGCGCGCACACGCGAACAGTGAGTAAAATGACAGTGAGACCCAGTGTGCACCCAAGACCTCACCCAACTCGCTCAAACTCCCCACAGACGGAGCACGGGCTGTGGGGACTCCAGGGAAGAGGAGCGCAGTGTGGGGCTCTCTGTACAGCCCCATCACAACTTCCCAGGACCTGCCCTGCTTAGCTTCAGAGGATCAGGCGGCACAGTTGCTTGAGTGGTTAGCACTCTCACTTCTCAGTAGTATGTATACATACAGACCTCTGTCTCGGTATACATACTGACCTCTGTCTCAGTATACATACTGACCTCTGTCTCAGTATACATACTGACCTCTGTCTCAGTATACATACAGTACCTCTGTCTCAGTATACATACAGACCTCTGTCTCAGTATACATACAGACACCTGTCTCAGTATACATACAGACCTCTGTCTCAGTATACATACATACCTATGTCTCAGTATACATACAGACCTCTGTCTCAGTATACATACAGACCTCTGTCTCAGTATACATACAGACCTCTGTCTCAGTATACATACAGACCTGTCTCAGTATACATACAGACCTCTGTCTCAGTATACATACTGACCTCTGTCTCAGTATACATACAGACCTCTGTCTCAGTATACATACATACCTATGTCTCAGTATACATACAGACCTCTGTCTCAGTATACATACAGACCTGTCTCAGTATACATACAGACCTCTGTCTCAGTATACATACAGACCTCTGTCTCAGTATACATACAGACCTATGTCTCAGTATACATACAGACCTCTGTCTCAGTATACATACAGACCTGTCTCAGTATACATACAGACCTGTCTCAGTATACATACAGACCTCTGTCTCAGTATACATACAGACCTCTCAGATCAGATTCATTTATTTGCCATTTGCAGTAAAACCACATTGGAAAAACTGTGCAAGACTACCCCGGTGTGCACCAGACAGAGGAGACGACACACACCAGAGCTCTTGCCACGGCGCCATCTTTACGGCGCCATGCGACAAACAGTAGAATAAACAGCAGAGAGCAAAACATACAGTTTCACAGACACTTGGATAGACACATTGTGCCTTGTATAAAGCACGGATTTTTTCTCAGGATGAAGCACCTCCTACAGCCGGCCCAATGTGGCTGTCAGAGGGGGGCGGGGTCAGGGAGGGGGTGAGTCGGAAACACAATGAGGAGTGGAGGGGAGGGAGGGAGCAAGATGGATAGAGAGGGAGGCGGGGGTAGGGGATCCAAGCTGGAGACTGAATAGTGAGAGATTGTTGTAGATGGGACCTTTGTTATTATGGCCTTGGCCCGAGGAATGTGAGATAAGAGTGGAGAGAAGACACAGACACAGCAGGAGAAACACATCGCCTCAGGGGGACAATATTAAATGCAATGTAGCAGTCAAAAGCAGGCAGATATTCTATTGAATCCAATTAAACCGAATTGCGGCGCCCTCAGACCCCGTACACAGGGGCAGATCCAAGCCGGGTCAGAGAGTTCAAGCCTGACACACAATGTCATTCAATCTCAACTCCAGAGTTTTATGTCCATCGAGTGAACGAGCTGCGAGGTCTTTAACCAACTGTTCCACCAAAACCACTCTCCTTTGTCCAGACACGGCACTCTCAACCACGACGCGGCTAAGCTCCTTGTACATCCCATCAATTTTGTCGGCCAGCAGCTCGTGAATCTTGCGAACTGCCATGCCTCCAAATTTGTGGTAGAAGAGAACAGCTCCAAAGCCAAACAGGAGGATTCCCACCACCAAAATGCCAAAGATATATACGTCTTCCGAATCTTCAATGGACAGGGTCGACAGACAGAGGGGCTGATACTTGTTCCAGCTGTCAAGAGTATACCCCGCTGGTGAAGTCCCGTCCGGGCACACGGGCTCTCCAGACCCACGCTTACGTGTTGAAAAGACAGAATCAATTGCGTTGAGGGACCAGTTAATCATTTCCATTCTTGTTAAAGTTGTCTGTGGCAAAACTCCATGTATACTGAGACTCTGTCTCAGTATACATACAGACCTGTCTCAGTATGAGACAGGCCTCCTCTCTGACAATGTTTAAAACCAGGTTAAAGACAGTTCTGTTTAACTGTGCTACAACTGAGGGATTTTATATTTTTATCTTTCTTTTTAATGTTCTGTGATTATTTATGATTTTAATGCTTTCTTGTTTTGTTCAGCACTTTGAATTGCCTTGTGTATGAATTGTGCTATATAAATAAACTTGCCTTGCCTTGCCTATACATACAGACCTCTGTCTCAGTATACATACAGACCTCTGTCTCAGTATACATACAGACCTCTGTCTCAGTATATATACAGGCCTGTGTCAGTATACATACAGACCTCTGTCCCAGTATACATACAGACCTCTGTCTCAGTATACATACAGACCTCTGTCTCAGTATACATACATACCTCTGTCTCAGTATACATACAGACCTCTGTCTCAGTATACATACAGACCTGTCTCAGTTTACATACAGACCTCTGTCTCAGTATATATACAGGCCTGTGTCAGTATACATACAGACCTCTGTCCCAGTATACATACAGACCTCTGTCTCAGTATACACACAGACCTCTGTCTCAGTATATATACAGGCCTGTGTCAGTATACATACAGGCCTGTGTCAGTATACATACAGACCTCTGTCCCAGTATACATACAGACCTCTGTCTCAGTATACATACAGACCTCTGTCTCAGTATACATACAGACCTCTGTCTCAGTATACATACAGACCTCTGTCTCAGTATACATACTGACCTCTGTCTCAGTATACATACAGACCTGTCTCAGTATACATACTGACCTCTGTCTCAGTATACATACAGACCTCTGTCTCAGTATACATGCAGACCTCTGTCTCAGTATACATACAGACCTGTCTCAGTATACATACAGACCTCTGTCTCAGTATACATACAGACCTGTCTCAGTATACATACAGACCTGTCTCAGTATACATACAGACCTGTCTCAGTATACATACAGACCTCTGTCTCAGTATACATACAGACCTCTGTCTCAGTATACATACAGACCTCTGTCTCAGTATACATACAGACCTCTGTCTCAGTATACATACAGACTTCTGTCTCAGTATACATACAGACCTCTGTCTCAGTATACATACAGACCTCTGTCTCAGTATACATACTGACTTCTGTCTCAGTATACATACAGACCTGTCTCAGTATACATACAGACCTCTGTCTCAGTATACATACAGACCTCTGTCTCAGTATACATACAGACCTCTGTCTCAGTATACATACAGACTTCTGTCTCAGTATACATACAGACCTGTCTCAGTATACATACAGACCTCTGTCTCAGTATACATACAGACCTCTGTCTCAGTATACATACAGACCTGTCTCAGTATACATATAGACTCACTTTGATGGTTGTGACGATGGTTGTCATGACGATCTGTCCACTGTACGTCTCCTGCAGCTCAAACTTTCCTCGAAGACTCTGGAAAACTCCGTTCATCACACGCTTCACCTGCACACAGCACTTCATCACCGACCCTATACCTGTGACCCTGTACCTCTGACCCTGTACCTTTGACCCTGTACCTGTGACTTGTGACCCTGTACCTCTGACCCTATACCTGTGACCCTGTACCTCTGACCCTGTACCTGTGACCCTGTACCTCTGACCCTGTACCTCTGACCCTGTACCTCTGACCTCTCACTCAGTACCTCTGTTTCTTTCAACTGGTGTTTTCCACTTTGGGCCTTACAAGTCTGGTCTGGTCCGCCTGATTTGCAGGAGGGTCTGTTTGGCAGATAGTGTCCAACTACAGTAACTTGCGAAAGTATTCGGCCCCCTTGAACCTTTCAACATTTCGTCACATTTCAGGCTTCAAACATAAAAGATATAAAAATTATTTTTTTTGTCAAGAATCAACAACAAGTGGGACACAATCGTAAAGTCTAACGAAATTTATTGGATAATTTTCAGTTTTTTATTTGTTAAAAAAGTTTAAAGTGGGGCGTGCAATATTATTCGGCCCCCTTGCGCTAATACTTTGTAGCGCCACCTTTTGCTGCAATTACAGCTGCAAGTCGCTTGGGGTATGTATCAGTTTTGCACATCCAGAGACTGGAATTCTTGCCCATTCTTCCTTGCAAAACAGCTGGAGCTCAGTGAGGTTGGATGGAGAGCGTTTGTGAACAGCAGTCTTCAGCTCTTTCCACAGATTCTGGATTGGATTCAGGTCTGGACTTTGACTTGGCCATTCTAACACCTGGATACGTCTATTTGTGAACCATTCCATTGTAGATTTGGCTTTATGTTTTGGATCATTGTCCTGTTGGAAGATAAATCTCCGTCCCAGTCTCAGGTCTTTTGCAGACTCCAACAGGTTTTCTTCCAGAATGGTCCTGTATTTGGCTCCATCCATCTTCCCATCAATGTTAGCCATCTTCCCTGTCCCTGCTGAAGAAAAGCAGGCCCAAAGCATGATGCTGCCACCACCATGTTTGACAGTGGGGATGGTGTGTTCAGGGTGATGAGCTGTGTTGCTTTTACGCCAAACATATCGTTTTGCATTGTGGCCAAAAAGTTCGATTTTGGTTTCATCTGACCAGAGCACCTTCTTCCACATGTTTGGTGTGTCTCCCAGGTGGCTTGTGGCAAACTTTAAACGAGACTTTTTATGGCTATCTTTGAGAAATGGCTTTCTTCTTGCCACTCTTCCATAAAGGCCAGATTTGTGCAGTGCACGACTGATTGTTGTCCTATGGACAGACTCTCCCACCTCAGCTGTAGTTATCTGCAGTTCATCCAGAGTGATCATGGGCCTCTTGGCTGCATCTCTGATCAGTCTTCTCCTTGTTTGAGATGAAAGTTTGGAGGGACGGCCGGGTCTTGGTAGATTTGCAGTGGTCTGATACTCCTTTCATTTCAATATAATTGCTTGCACAGTGCTCCTTGAGATGTTTAAAGCTTGGGAAATCTTTTTGTATCCAAATCCGGCTTTAAACTTCTCCACAACAGTATCTCAGACCTGCCTGGTGTGTTCCTTTGTCTTCATGGTTCTCTCTGTGCTTTAAACAGAACCCTGAGACTATCAAAGAGCAGGTGCATTTATACGGAGACTTGATTACACACAGGTGCATTCTATTTATCATCATCAGTCATTTAGGACAACATTGGATCATTCAAAGATCCTCACTGAACTTCTGGACTGAGTTTGCTGCACTGAAAGTAAAGGGGCCCAATAATATTGTTTAAATTATCCAACAAATGTCGTTCCACTTCACGATTGTGTCCCACTTGTTGTTGATTCATGACAAAAAATTTAAATTTGATATCTTTATGTTTGAAACCTGAAATGTGGCAAAATGTTGAAAGGTTCAAGGGGGCTGAATACTTTCGCAAGGCACTGTAGAAGGACTGTGGTGATGATCCAGGACACTTTAACATTCTACAACATGTGTGACATTTATCAACATGTGTGACATTTATCAACATGTGTGACATTTATCAACATGTGTGACATTTATTAACATGTGTGACATTTATCAACATGTGTGACATTTATCAGAATCAAAATCATTTTTATTGCCATTAAGTAACAGGAAGTCACAGACTTGGAAATTGCTTTGGCTCAGTGCAACAGTCAGAAAGAGATAATAAAAAATTAAGAATAAAAAACACTTCCATCCATCCATCCATTTTCTTCCCCTTAATCCATTTCTGGGTCGGGGGGGTGGCCAGAGATGCCACCCAGTGCACAGAGCACCAGCCCCTCACTGATCCTCCTGCAGGTGGTGAGTCCACAGGAGCTGAGATTTTTCAGTTGGGGCTTTGGGCAAACTAGGGTTAAGTGTCTTGCCCAAGGACACAACAACAGCAGTAGGTCTTACGGTGGGCTCGAACCCACGACCTTCAGGCTCAAAGGCCAATGCTCTACCAACTGAGCTACTGTAGCCCCCCATAAAAAACACTTCTAAGGAATAACTGTAAATTTAAAATAGAGTTACAGTTACTATTTACAATATACAAGTGCACATGTGTTCTATATTCTTTATGTGTCAAAACAGTTGATTCTCTAATCTGTGTTGGTGATTTAATGGTTTTGTTAAGTCTCTGAGATGATGCTGTTGTGATTTAGGGAAATACAAGAATAAATTGTATTGTATTGTATTGTGTTGGTGTTCCACAGGGCTCCATCTGCCACTTAATCTAAAGACACACACTTAATCTAAAGACACACACACACACTTAATCTAAAGACACACAATGTCTCCTTTCACGCTGAAGCTGAAGACCTGCAGATCTACAACACGGTTAGACTGTCTCCAGGAAGTAAAAACATGGCTGTCCCAATGGTTTTAAATTCTCAACAAGAATAAAAGTGAAATAGTTTTAGCTGCAGCCTCTGGACCTCACTCTCTGGACCTCACTCTCTGGACCTCACTCTCTAGACCTCACTCTCTAGACCTCACTCTCTAGACCTCACTCTCTAGACTTCACTCTCTAGACCTCACTCTCTGGGACAAAGAGAGCACATCACCCCTGTGCTGGCCTCACTTCACTGGCTCACAGGTACAGAGAGCCAGTACCTCTGACCCTTTACCTCTGACCCTTTACCTGTGACCCTGTACCTGTGACCCTGTACCTCTGACCCTGTAACCCTGTACATCTGACCTCTGACCCTGTACCTGTGACCCTATACCCCTGACCCTGTACCTCTGCAGCTGTATCCGGTGAGCGCCTGTGTTCCTCCAGGTCCCTCACTCTGCTCTGAGCGGCAGCTGCTCGTGTCTCCAGCTCTTTTTTCTGAGTCAGAGAAACAGGAAATATGAGACGCTCAAAGACTGATGTCATTCACACTGACTCTGACTCTGACACTGACACTGACACTGACTCTGACTCCTACTTTACTCTAACTCCTACTTTACTCTAACTCCTACTAAACTACTCTGACTTCTGACTTCTTCAGCCTGATGCTCCTCTGACTCTCACCCCCTGGACTGAAAACACACACAATATCAAACTGAAGACATACAATATCGGACTGAAGACACACACAGATGGGGTTATAAATGTGTGTGTGTCTGTGTGTGTTCACCTGGTTCTTCAGCTGGTTCTGCAGCTGGTCTGTGTGTGTGTGTTCACCTGGTTGTGCAGCTGGTCTCTCTCTTCTCTCAGTTGCTGCTGAGCCTCAAAACACTTCTGTCTCCACTCCTGCTGCAGCTGCAAACACATCCGTCAACACCAGGTTAAGGTGGAGTTAGCATCCCTGTAGTCTGGGCTAGCGTGCTGAAGTCAAACATTGCAAACGAGAAAAACTGTGAAAAAAATCTGCACATCTATGTAGCTCCCAATCAGTGTCCTTTATTTACAGACCACGTTGAAACGTTTTGGGCTGAGGCCCTTCATCAGACATTGTATCAGGGTAAGGTTACCCTAGCAACCATAGTATTAGGGTAAGTTTACCCTAGCAACCGCAGGGTGAGGGCTAGGGTTACCCTGGCAACCGTAGAAGAAGGGCAGGGGTGGCTTCTGAACTGATCATTGAAGTATTTATTTCAGGTGAATATTCACCTGGTCAGATGCTGCACGGTCGTGGCTTAGAGCTGTTTGGAGCTGAGAGCGCAGTTTGTCCACCTCCTGCTGACTGCTCCTCCTTAGCTCCTCCTGCTCCTCCTCTCTGCGCTGACGCTCCTGCTCCCACTTCTTCTGTCGCTCACACACACTCTGCAACAAACCCATTTTTAGGAGGAGCCACAGGATGAGCTAGAGGAGGAGCCAGAGAAGGATCCACAGGAGGAGCCAGAGGAGGAGCCAGAGAAAAGAGAGAAGCCAGGGGAGGTGCCACAGGAGGGGCCAGAGGAGGAGCCAGAGGAGAAGCCAGAGGAAAGAGAGGAGCCACAGGAGGATCCAGAGGAGAGAGAGGACGAGCCAGAGGAAGAGCTAGAGGAGAAGCCAGAGGAAAGAGAGGATACAGGGGAGGAGCCACAGGAGGAGCCAGAGGAGGAGCCAGATAAGGATCCAGAGGAGGAGCCAGAGGAGAAGCCAGAGAAAAGAGATGAGCCAGAGAAGGATCCACAGGAGGAGCCAGAGAAGGAGCCACTGGAGGAGCCAGAGGAGAAGCCAGAGAAAAGAGAGAATACAGGGGAGGAGCCACAGGAGGATCCAGAGGAGGAGCCAGAGGAGAGAGAGGAGGAGCCAGAGAAGAAGCCAGAGGAAAGAGAGGAGCCACAGGAGGAGCCACAGGAGGAGCCAGAGGAGAGAGACGAGCCAAGGGAGGATCCACAGGATGAGCCAGAAGAGAAGCCACAGGAGGAGCCAGAGGAGAGAGAGGAGCCAGGGGAGGAGCCACAAGAGGAGCCACAGTATGAGCCAGAAGAGGAGCCACAGGAGGAGCCAGAGGAGAGAGAGAAGCCAGGGGAGGAGCCACAGGATGAGCCAGAAGAGGAGCCACAGGAGGAGCCACAGGAGGGGCCAGAGGAGAGAGAGGAGGAGCCACAGGAGGAGCCAGAGGAGAGAGAGGAGCCACAGGATGAGCCAGAAGAGGAGCCACAGGAGGAGCCAGAGGAGAGAGAGGAGGAGCCACAGGAGGAGCCAGAGGAGAGCATGTGTCCAAGAAGGAAGTCTTCAACAGTAACAGGTTCAGACTGAAGAATTCTGAGCCTCATTTATGACAAGGTCCATTCTCAGGTCCACTCTGAGGGAGGTCCACTCTGAGGGAGGTCCACTCTGAGGGAGGTCCACTCTGAGGGAGGTCCACTCTGAGGGAGGTCCACTCTGAGGTCCACTCTGAGGTCCACTCTGAGGGATGTCCACTCTGAGGTCCACTCTGAGGGAGGTCCACTCTGAGGTCCACTCTGAGGGATGTCCACTCTGAGGTCCACTCTGAGGGAGGTCCACTCTGAGGTCCACTCTGAGGGATGTCCACTCTGAGGTCCACTCTGAGGGAGGTCCACTCTGAGGGAGGTCCACTCTGAGGGAGGAGTGTGACATCACCACTGATCCAAACAGGTGCTGAATGGGACAGTGGAGAGTCACAGTTTAGTCCTGTGTATGGTACATGTACTGGTGGTGCTGGTACTGGTACTGGTGCTGGTACTGGTGCTGGTACATGTACAGGTGCTGGTGCTGGTACATGTACTGGTGCTGGTGCATATACAGGTGCTGGTACAGGTGCTGGTACAGGTGCTGGTACATGTACTGGTGCTGGTGCATATACAGGTGCTGGTGCTGGTACATGTACTGGTGCTGGTGCATGTACTGGTGCTGGTGCATATACAGGTGCTGGTACAGGTGCTGGTGCTGGTACATGTACTGGTGCTGGTGCATATACAGGTGCTGGTGCTGGTACCTTCTCCAGGCGGGCTCGGTCCAGGCGCAGGTCCTGTAGCTCCTCCTCCAGACCGGTGACTTTCAGATCCACTTCTTTGCGTTTCTGTTTCTCTGAACGACACTGGAGCTCTGCCCTCTGCACCTCCTCCTGCAGCTCTGAGTCAGACATGTTTAATATTAAAGATACGCCTCCTCCTGCAGCTCTGAGTCAGACATGTTTAAGATTAAAGATACGCCTCCTCCTGCAGCTCTGAGTCAGACATGTTTAATATTAAAGATACGCCTCCTCCTGCAGCTCTGAGTCAGACATGTTTAAGATTAAAGATACGCCTCCTCCTGCAGCTCTGAGTCAGACATGTTTAAGATTAAAGATACGCCTCCTCCTGCAGCTCTGAGTCAGACATGTTTAAGATTAAAGATACGCTCTCGCAGCTCTGAGCCTCCTCCTGCAGCTCTGAGTCAGACATGTTTAAGATTAAAGATACGCCTCCTCCTGCAGCTCTGAGTCAGACATGTTTAATATTAAAGATACGCCTCCTCCTGCAGCTCTGAGTCAGACATGTTTAATATTAAAGATACGCCTCCTCCTGCAGCTCTGAGTCAGACATGTTTAATATTAAAGATACGCCTCCTCCTGCAGCTGAGTCAGACATGTTTAAGATTAAAGATACGCCTCCTCCTGCAGCTCTGAGTCAGACATGTTTAAGATTAAAGATACGCCTCCTCCTGCAGCTCTGAGTCAGACATGTTTAAGATTAAAGATACGCCTCCTCCTGCAGCTCTGAGTCAGACATGTTTAAGATTAAAGATACGCCTCCTCCTGCAGCTCTGAGTCAGACATGTTTAAGATTAAAGATACGCCTCCTCCTGCAGCTCTGAGTCAGACATGTTTAAGATTAAAGATACGCCTCCTCCTGCAGCTGAGTCAGACATGTTTAAGATTAAAGATACGCCTCCTCCTGCAGCTCTGAGTCAGACATGTTTAAGATTAAAGATACGCCTCCTCCTGCAGCTCTGAGTCAGACATGTTTAAGATTAAAGATACGCCTCCTCCTGCAGCTCTGAGTCAGTGTTTAAGATTAAAGATACGCCTCCTCCTGCAGCTCTGAGTCAGACATGTTTAAGATTAAAGATACGCCTCCTCCTGCAGCTCTGAGTCAGTGTTTAAAGGTAAAGATACACGTTCCACAACCCTGACCCCGACCTCTGATCAACAGACCTACACAGACCTACACACACACACATACACACCTACAGGGACCTACACACACACACACAGACCTACACAGACCTACACACACACACATACACACCTACAGGGACCTACACACACACACACAGACCTACACAGACCTACACACACACAAATAAGATAAGATAAGAATTTCGATGTTGCAGCGCACATATAGGACAGTAGTAAGAGCACACAGGGAGCACACACAATATATACAATATATTCAAATAAGTAGTAGCTATGTTTCTTAGCTAACATAACTAGCTGTATGTAACCCAGGAAAAAAAACATTTATATATATATTTGTAATGTGTAAGTATAAAATATAAAATAAGTTAAATGTATTTTCGCGCTGCGTGCATAACATACGTCATCACGTCTATCAGTCACATGACCGTCAGTAGCCATATTGACAGACTGTGTGGCTGCCGGTAGAAGCGGGTTGGGAAAGAAGCGGCAGGAGCCTCTGTTGATCCGTCGGCTGTGAGGGAAGCCTGTGTGTGTGGTTCACATTGGAGAACTGGCCAGGAAGTTCCAGATGGCGAGCTTAGTCCCGAACCAGAGTTGAGTGTAACACTAATTTAAAGTAAGTGAATAACAAACAATTAGGTTAGGGCTAAGGGATGCAAGGAAACTAAGACTGACTGACAGAAAGAAACTAAATACGTGAGAGGAGCTTGTGGGAATGAGGACCAGGGAGACGGAGTAACGGAATAAAAAATATTGTATTTGTAAATGTTTCTTTTTTGTGAGTAGAAGATAGAAGTGGAAAACAAGCAATCAATAAATATAACCAATATATTTCAAAAACAAAGTTCAATATTCAAAGTGTGCAAAAAAAAAAAAGGAAACAAAAAAAGAATTCTCAAAATAAGATGTAAAGGGAAAACCCAACCATGGGGAAAAACCCTTTTTAATAGTTCTCAGTTCGAAACTCTCGGTTGAGAGGAAAGTTCAGTTACGGTTAGAAAGTTTGTAGAAAACAAAGTAGATTCCTTTCATAAAAAAACAATAATCCTTCATTCCAGGGGGGAAAGGTGTCCAAACTCAAAGTGTCCACGTATTGGGGAAAAAAATAAAGGTCCTACCAGTTGCAGGCTTCTGGGCTCAGCTCGCCACCTCAAAAGAGGAATTTTAATTCAGTTCTGGTTCAGGGTGGAAAAAAACCTGACCTAAAAACAAAAGGTCAAAAAGGAAAAAACCACCATAAATAATCAGCATTTGGTCCCAAAAATACAGTACCATACAAAATAATCAGTTTCCATTAAATGTTTATAAAAATAAAAATCATTTGATGCATCATTCATAAATCTAAATCAATATTGCGCAATACAAGGTCATGTGACTACTACAGCCGTAGCTCATTATCATATGGAGCTCTAACAGACTCCGCTCTTTAAACTCAAATTACAAACAATCAAAACAATCTTTTGTAAAACTGGTGATGTGAATGGTGTCTTTACTTGTGTACTACAAGTATACCGGGTCATTTATTGTATTTGATGAGGTTTGAGTGGTGAGAAACACTTTTAAAGCTGCAAAAACCGGATCGCCAGTAATGCGGAAATAGTTAACTTTACAAAGTACACATGTTTAAAATACGTCGGCGCAAACAGAGTGGCCAGAATGAATGAATATAACCATGAGCAACTCACCGCTGAATGCTGGAAGTTTTCTGATCAGTTTTCTGTTAGTTACAGACGCTTTCAGCTAGACTGCCACACAGGGAAGGGCTAACAGGAAGTAGCCAGACCGTGCATTAGCCTGACGGCCATACTTTAACTACAGCGCCATCAGGGGCGGGGCCAATGAACTGTCTGGGAATCAATGAGGATCAGAGGAAAAGACCTGGGTTACATGAGCTCCAAGAGAGGAACTCAGTCCAGTCAGACAACTGCATCCTCCTGCTCCGGTCGGGTAGGAGGCTCCTGTAGCCGCCCTTTTTCCCTTTTGATTTGTCCTCGTGTTCAAAGTGAGGGGCTCACTTCATATTGACTCACATTCACCCGTTAAAACTCACTCTTTGGAATATCTGAGCCCAACCAAACAACCGCTCACCGAACGAGCACTTGGATTAAATTTTTGTGTTTTGTGCGTTTCGTGAACTCTCTAACATTTGTGCAACCGTTGAAGTGGACAATTCCGGAAGCCATTGTCTTGTCTATATATATCAATTTGTTGTATGTCATTGTTTGTCATAGTCTCTTTAAATTCAATACATGTGGTGGTACCATCTGCAAAATTCAACAGTGTTTCAGTTTGTCTCTCTCCACTCTTAGAGCCAAACTGGGACTTCTGATTTTTAGCCCATAACTCGATAGTGTGTGTGCCAAATTATTACCTGTCCTGTAATAGGTTAGCGTAGCCACATGCTACATGTAGATGCTGAAAATGCTTCAATACCAGTCAAAATATATATGTAGTAGTGCAGTTATATACTGTACAGTTAAATAGTGCAGGATAAAAAGTATATAAGTAAAGTGACATGAGGTAAAGTGACATTGTTCTGTGACATTGTTCTTCTTCAGAGAACCAAGAGCCTGTACAGTTTACGTTCCAATGATTCTTACCTTCTGACTGTTCCACGTGTCCGGACGGAGCTGGGAAAGCAGGCATTTAGGTATTCTGCTCCCGCTGCATGGAACAGTCTGCAGTCAGATCTGAAGTGGTCCAAATTGTTGTCTTTAAACGCATTTCGTTCACTTCTTTTAAAAAAACAGTTCTCAACCATTGCCAAGTGCTCATGCTTTTAAACTTTAACGTGTTATATAGTTGCCTTTAGTTTTTTATTTTTGATCATGTACATGTTTTTTAGTTTCACTGTTTGTACTTTGTAGTATTATTGTATTGTATTATTATTGTTTTGTTTTACTGTTGCTCTGTAAAGTGCCTGTGACGTGTGCTACAGACCTCTTGGCCAGGACTCCCTTGAAAAAAAGATCTCGATCTCAATGGGTATTTTCCTGGTTAAATAAAGGAAAGACATCCTGAAGTTGCAGTATTGCACATTGCACATGATTTAAGAATTAATTACAGATGAATGAAATTTACAGGCTCAGCAGTTCTTATTGTACAGTCTGACAGCAGCAGGAAGGAAAGACCTACGGAACCTCTCCTTCACACAGCGAGGGTGAATTAGTCTGTCACTGAAGCTGCTCTCCAGAGCAGAGAGAGTGTCCTGCAGGGGGCGACAGTCATGGTCCAGCATAGATGTTAGTTTGCTCAGGACCCTCCTGTCCCCCACCTGCTGCACTGTGTCCAGGGAACAGCCCAGGACTGAGCTGGACTTCCTGATGACCTTGTCCAGCTTCTTCCTGTCCCTCTCAGATTCATTTATTTATTTATTACTGGGACAGTGCATATTAAAGAAAATTTCTGTAAATATGCCAGAATTAGCCAAACGGCTATTTTTCATCCGTAGTCCCGTGTCTCCTGAAAAGACATGGGACTACTAAATGATTCAGATTCATTTATTTGCCATTTGCAGTAAAACCACATAGGAAAAACTGTGCAAGACTACCCCAGTGTGCACCAGATGACACACACCAGAGCTCTTGCCACGGCGCCATCTTTACGGCGCCATGCGACAAACAGTAGAATAAACAGCAGAGAGCAATAACATACAGTTTCACAGACAGTTGGATAGACACATTGTGCTTTGTATAAACCACGGATTTTTTTCTCGGGATGAGCACCTCCGACTGCCGGCCCAATGTGGCTGTCAGAGGGGGGCGGGGTCAGGGAGGGGGGTGAGTCGGAAACACAATGAGGAGTGGAGGGGAGGGAGGGAGCAAGATGGATAGGTAGAGGGAGGCGGGGGTAGGGGATCCAAGCTGGAGACTGAATAGTGTGAGTTGTTGTAGATGGGACCTTTGTTATTATGGCCTTGGCCGAAGGAATGTGAGATAAGAGTGGAGAGAAG